TCTGCAGTTATGCTGTTAGTAACATACATCTGAGGCCGGCATTGTGGTGTAGAGGTTTGGACCTCTGCCTACTGCGTCAGCATTCAATATGGGTGCTGATTCAAGTCCTGACTACTCTACTTCCCATCCAGCTCCCTGCTTAAGCACCTGAGAAAGCAGCGGAAGATGGCCCATGTGCTTGGGCCTTGTGGGAAACCCAAATGTGGCTCCTGGCTCCTGGCTTCAGCCTGGCCCAGCACCAGCACTTGCAGCCATTTGGAGAATAAACCAGCAGATGGAAGACCTCTCTCTCTGTCTGTCCCTTTCTCTCTCTAACTTTGCCTCTCAAATAAATAAAATAAATCTTAAAATATATATCTGCTTTAACCTCATTGTGAAATTTAACATTTTCTACAGCACAAACCTCTGATTTAGTGATGAGGAAACTGAAACTAGAAATAATGGAGCAATCTGATCTATATTACATACTAACTGGTAGATGTAGGCATCCAACTTGAGCCAATCTGAAGCCTCAAACATATAGAGATTCAAATCTCTCTGTCTCTCACATACACACATACAAAGGAACAAATGTGAAAAGTAAAAATAAATCTGAACTAATTTCAGTCATTGTTCTTGTTTTTTAATTAATTTGTTTACAAGAGAGAAAGAAGAGAGGAAAAGAGATAGGAAGAGAGAGAGACAGAGAGAGACAGACAGACAGACAGCAAGACAGCAGATAGACAGAACTCCCATCTGGAGGTTCACTCCACAAATACCTGTAAGGCTGGGGTTAGCTCAGCTGTAACCAGGAGCTGGGACCTCAGTCCAGGTATACTATATTTTGAGCTATCAAATGCTGTGCCACAGGGTGCACATTGCACACTAACAGAAAGTAGAGTGGAGACTGGGACTGGAGCCTGGAGTTGAACCCAGGCACTCTAATATGGGCCACAGGTGTCCCAGGCCGCGTCGTAACTGTTGCACCAAATGCCTGCCCCCATCACTGTTCCTGAACTTACAAAAGGATTCTGGCAATTCCTAAGTAGCGGCTGAGTGTGTTCTATGTTTCCATGGAAAGACATTGTGGATTTATTTGAAACCCTCCCTTCTGAGCAGCACATGCTCCCTTTTGATCTATGTGGTTTAGGGTGGGGCACATTAGCCATTTGCTCCCTGCATCCCACACATCAGGACTGGGGCCAGAGCCCATCACCTTGTTAGAATATTTGGCTCTCTATGTAAAGAACATAATTATTAGCACCTCGATAACTTCCTCTGCATGTTTTATGACACAGAATTAGATCAAATCTTCTTCGGTCTGTGTTCTACTCACTTAGAAAAAAACACACAGCTTCACATCTAATCTTGGACCCTGGCTCAAAAGTAAGTTTACATCTTGCATTCTCAATGTTGTCATCTCTAAATATTTCTATGTTAACAAATACACCTACTTCATTTTATTCACTATGTAAATTCATTCAAATAAAATGTAAATGTGTGATAACTGTGTGCCAAAGTCCTATTTTCATAAAGATAAGAACTGATGCAATTTCTTTCAAATAATGGTTTATGCAGATTCTACATGAACTCCAAACAGCTTTGATTATTATTGTTAACCCCTTGCCTATTTTAATGAAAGCTAAAACAAACCCGTCTGAAATCCATCTAATCCATAGAAAGGATCTGCCTGACCTACTAAAATGATGTATTAATTTTCAAATGTCTTTAGTGACATCTTGATGCCATTGTTCTAATTAGCTATATAAACCAAGAAGATGACAATTTATTTTAAGACTATTTACTTCCTTTCAAAACACCAAGGCTTCAATATCAGAATCAGAAATTCTGACATAAAATGGTAAGAACTACTTTCACTACTTATAAGAAGTCACTGCCTGGCAGTAATTCTATAGCAAAGCAGCAAAATCCCCACTTGCTTTAAGTGAAGCTCCAAGGTTTGAAGCTTTCTCTGAGGCTTTGCAAACAGAAGTCAACTGGATTATTTTGTAAAGGCCTTTGTGAAGCTGGAGGGACTTTCTGCTTTGATTTTTTTGCTTTCTTCTTGTTTTAAATTTTAAAAAGAATATTTGCTTAATGGTATAGATAGCAAGAAACACCTTAGAGAATGATGCTTCTTTGGCAAAGGGACATATCTACGACATGAGAAAAAAACACTTTTATTTTGCAGTATGCAAGTTGTACTCATTTAAATTTGTCAGGAACCTCAAGCTAGAAGCTGTGATAATAACACATTAAGGAACCTTGGCTAAGCAGTGACATTTTAAAGTCTTCCTCTCTTGTTTACCACCTCTTTGACATATAGAAACCAAGGGATAATGATAACCTGGGGTGTGTTATGGCACAGTGTTATCTGGTATGTGTGTCTGCATGTGTGAATTCTTAACAGACACTCCCAAAGATAAATAGTGAAGAACAGTATTTACAGTCTTTTAGATTATCTTGGTTAATACCATGACTAAATGACTATAGCAAGAGGTAGAACCATTGAGCACTTGTTGGCACAAACCTGTCACCTGTGACCCCCACTCTGCAGCTACTGTTGAAGTTCAACACCAACTCCAAGAAATTGTCCTCACTCCTTGGATACAAAGCAGGGTTAAATGCCATAAAAACCATTTACAGTTCCTTTCACAGGAATGTTAAAATTTATTTAACTCATAGTGTAAATATCTTATAAATTCTATATAAAAATATGTGTTCAAGAAACATCCAGTTTTCTAATTTTCAGCTTTTCCATTCTAAAGGGAAGCTAACAACAGTTACTCATTGCTTTTCATTTTTCATTTCTGAGACCTTGGAATCATTAAGCTTTGGAATCCCTTGCTCCTGCTTTCATGAGCTCTGCTGTGTCATGACAAGGTTGAGAGTTGGCAAAGAGCCAGGAGCCAAGCACAAGGCATGGCCCTGAGCTGTCCTGTGCCTTTGTGAGGTCCAAGGGAGGAAAGTCTCATAACTGCCAGCTCCTGAAAATGTCCCACTGCTCTCACTGTCAGCATCTCCAGTATTTCATTTTCTTCTCTAAGTTTCATAGAACACTTTTCTTTAGATTCTGCTTTATTTATTTATTTTTTACATTACTGTCCCTTGTTCAGAATTTCTCAGCTCAACCTTTATTGGCCACTTGGTGGATAAACATCTGTCAAATATGTTCAATATTACTGATAATTAGATGGCACAGATAAGGACATTTGGCCCAATTACATCATATTGGATGAGCCTAAGTTGAGGGAAGTTACCAGAACAAAGTGGTATAAACCCACTGTGACTGATCACAACATTTTCAGAACCTGCTCAGGAAAGGTGAATCACTGATGGGTAAGACAGTGGGGGAGGCTGTCAGTTTCTGTAAAGTGGAAGAAGAAGCCGTGGATGAGTAATCCAGAGAGGATATTTGTTACTCTAGCACCAGCACCACACAGGCGAATGTCCAGACGGCTCTGTGGGAACCATAAACTGTAACCCTATATTCTGATTACTTCAAGGATAAAGACCCAAGTTCTGATGGAGGCACTAAGGTGGTTAGTTATTTCACCCAGAAACACCTGCCACTCAAAAATCTTCAAAGAGGAGTCGTAATGTGCTTGACTCGCTAGCCTCTCTTGGTGATGGTGGAAATGTTCTCTACCTGTGCCGCCCAATGCAGTCGCCGTTAGCCATGTGTGACTGCTAAGTATCTGAAATACGGCTAAGTGTGACTGAGTGACTGATGTTGTAACTGTATTCAATTTCCATGAATTTAAGCAGACATGTGACTAGTGACTATCATACTGGACTCAGTAGCTCTAGATGCAACTCACACACACACGCCTGAGGCAGGTTCTCTGAAGCAACTCCAAGTGATGTCTGGAAGGTGTCTCTCCCCCATCCAGCAGAGCCTCCACCTGATTCAGATCACCATCCCCATTCTGAGGTGTTCTCCTCTCCTCTCTTTCCCTCCATCTGTCTGTGCTTTCCTCCCTCTTCTTTCCTCCCTCACACAGCACAGAAACATTTACACCAGGCTCGGCTCACTTTCAGAACCTGAGTCCCAAATATTTGCAAAAGTAACCAAGCTGTCTGCATGTCTTTAAGACTGATACCTTTTTTTTTTTTTTTGGATTCTGTGTAATTTTTATTGTGAATGTTAATATACTTACACACATGGCATTTTTATTCATGTAGGCTATCTGGGGTGTCTGCCACTGTGTCCTACAGAGACACTGACTTTGATTCACTTAGACAATAGTTTTTAGGCAATGGCTTCCAGGATTGCCTCCTCCTGAAAAAGCAAGGACTTCCTTACTGCATTTAAATTTATTTTAACAAGTGTTTTATATTTATCTGTGTTTGTGTATTTGGACACATTTAATGTCAATCCTGCTCAGTTTTAATTCATGTAGTCTGTTATGAGGTCACCAATATGAACAGTCAAAACATCATGTTACCAGTTGAAGGGAACAGAAAAAGTAGTGAAGACATAAACCTTTATTTCTACTTGAAAGTGTTATCCAATCCACATTATCAAGCATTCAAAATATGGGCATATTCTATAACAGAACTTCCCACTTACTATTTGTTCACAGAATGAGCTCATCTCCAAATGATTAAGAAAGAGAGAAAAAGAAACAGAGGCAACGTGAAAACAAGAAGGGACAAGGCAAGAAGCTCCAGAGTTCTCTAGAAGAAACAAGACTCAGAATGGTGTGGAAACAATTTAGGCCTGGGGTTGGACAGGTCTGTGTGTACGTGCAGAAAGGTGTGTTGCGAAGAAAGCTGATAGACCCCAGAGTCAGGCACACGATCTGGGTCTGCCAAATGCCTCAGATGTCCAAGAGGGCCCCAGAAGGGGAGAGGAGGCCAGATGGCAGGAGACGTCAAGGAAGGGCTGTAGCAACAGAGAAAGGAGTGTGATAGGGGCAGCTGGCTCCAAGAGGCTAAGGTATAAAATGCTACAGCAGCTGCTCATCTGCATAACGTTCTCATTCAACCCTGAAATATTAAATAAGAAAAAACTTTACCTGTGATGTCCTGAATAACGTGGACCACGGATATGGCCTATTCCTCGGCACCCTGGAGTAGGACAAACAGCTTGACCTGGAAGGATTTTCACATCATTTGCTCCTTCAGGAAGTAAAAGAACATACCTTAAAACACCCTCATTAAAGAACTAGAAAGGCTGAACTATGTAAATGACATTAACTGAAGCTTTGCAAATGAAAACCAACCCATCAACAAAAGACACTCACTGAGTACTTTCAATGTTTTATAATGTTTTAGCAAAAAATACCACTGCTGTAATGCTGTAATAAATAACAACCACAGCACAACTGATAGAGGGAGAGAGGGAGAGGGAGAGACAGGGAGAGAGAGAGGGAGAAGAAGAGAAAGAGAAAAAGGAGAGAGAAAGAGAGAGAGAGAGAATGAGTAGGCATAGAGAAATTAAAAACCTTTGGGAACATTCCTTTATTTCTTTCACAGATTAAAAATGACAGAGGCAATATAGCTGTCAGCTGAGAGCCTGAGGATATGGGCTCTAGTTTGTTGCTCTCAAAGAAACCCCCACTTAGCCAACACAAGGCTCCCCAAATGCAGAAATGAAAGAGAGCTACCCTATGGGAGCTGCCCCAGATAGCAAACATGGTCCTAACCCATGCTTACTCAAGAGCTGTCACAGCTGGGCTAAAAACTGAGTGATCTCATAC